GTAGCTGCACACATTGCAGCAACTTCCCACCTTGAAAAACCCCGTTAAGGCCCCGGGGCGTTCGGTTTCAATCCAGGGCCGCCTGGTCAATCCAGGACCGCCCACCTCCGGAAGTGGTGCGTGGCTGGCATAACGTGTGAAATCAGCTAGGTTGATTGCCGTATCAACCGATAGAACGACTGACATCTCCAGAAAACTTGTTTGTACGTGCCTCTTTCCCCAAGCCAGCCTCCTTCACTGCTAGTGGGAAAGAGGGTTTTGTTAACGGCCTTGTCGTTCGCATCTCTACTCGATTTCGATCGCCTCCTTCTCCTTATTGAGCCCGACTTTTGCGCTTGAAGAATGCGAAGTCTGCGCACCCCAGTACTGTGAAATCTGTGGTCGTTCGAAACATGTACAAACAGCAATTGAAGTTTGTACGGGCACATGGAGCGAGATGAGTCACGTAAGCTAGCTTCCGAGATTGCAAGGATGAATGGTTATGGAAAACAGACAAGAAAATCAGGCTCACGAAATCATTCCGCGAGAATTCGTGAAGGTTCACAAGGGCATTCGCAAGAAGTCGCGATAGTATGGCACAGAATGCTCTATGAGTACTGCGTGATTTGCCTATACGGAACGTGTAGGAGACTGTGCACAACGAGAAACAGTATACCAACTTCAATGTTCAACCTGTGGCGAAGTTTATATTGGAGAGACGGGCAGGATGTTAGGCGTACGCGTTAAAGAACACTGGCTGGAAAAAGGCGCGGAAACCTACTTACTCCACTTGGCAAGCACCGATTAGAAACTCATCAGGGCAACGATTTGATATACGATGCAAAATTTTGGATTCCTGCCTTTCATTCCTCTATGTGGATTGTGAGACAATGCGCATACCGCCAACACCCTCACGCGAGGGTGTCCGATTTTTCAATATCCGCCGAAATTGAGTAACTACGTAGCGCTGGTGGAGTAGCAGTAAGGCCGATGTCAGACTTTGCGAATCGCGCGATTCGCTAGCGTCTGCGGTCGCGTCGCGGCCAGTGAATCACTCAATTGGCTGGTACCAACGCGAATCGCTAGTAGCGAATCGCGCGATTCGCAAAGTCTGACATCGGCCTAGGGTCGGTTTCCTTGTTCTCTACTTCCATTTCCACTTCTATCTTTCTCTACTTGTATTTTGAAAATAAGAAATATAACGAGGCGTTTGACCGGATTAGTTGAGAACTACGAACCAACTTCAGGTCCTGAAACGACGAATTGTTCGAAACGTCGACCGAATAAATCTATTCCACCGTAACAACCTGTATGGCATAGCAACAACAACACGGAATATGCAAGGTGGCCAGATATTACGGTAACAGAGCGTTACCCATCAATTCTATTAGGTCGGTCAAAATGTATCCGCCATTTCGCATGCCCAACTTTGAAGCAAAGCATCACAACTCTGCTGAAACAGTGCTTTTTAAGTTAGCTTAAGAACCTTTATATTCAACGTGTGTTGCTGATCACAACCACGCTAACCTCCCCTTATGAAAAAAGCTTAGTTATTGTAGGGCAAAAGCTGTCGGAAGCCAACTTTGACATACTCCTGCTCTGAAAGCAATCACTCCTCCAAGAACTGCGTTGATTATCAGAAAAACACCTGTGCTAGGGAGGATTGCAGAACAAGCTTGAATCCATTTTTGAATGAATTTTACACAGCGCATTTTGCGGTGGGCCGTCCAGCGCTATCGTGGTGACAGATCGAACCTCATTTGTTCCTTCACGCAGGCTATCATCCCTGCAGTTTCTTATGTATTATGTTCTATCCTTTACGGCAAGACTCCACCGTCACCGGATTCTCAGGGACTTGCCAATGAGCTGCGCCACCAAACATTGAGGAAAATCCCTGTTGGAAGCGCTCTGAGTTTCGAGATGCTCCAAGTCAACTCAATCTCGTTCGACCAAGCAACCTTTACATTATCATCGTGCAGATTCATAGTTTCATATGGCACTATTACCGATCTCTGAAGCGGCTCCTTCCTGTTGCAATGTAGAGTCCAAGTGCGCACCTCCATGCGCGTTGCAACGAGTCGAGCTGCCAGCACGGGTCAGTCCGATGAACAGAGTGACGACGTTTCTGCTCCTTCCTCATAGCGTTCAGGCGGCAAATCACGATGTCCTTAGAGACTCCAAACTCTCCTGCTCTACTTGCAGTTGAGCCCCTGTGATGAGCTCCTTTCGTTTCCTTTTGCACAATCCTGTAGATTGGGGGCATTCCTCTTCCTACATGCATCACTTTAAAATTTTATTTCTTCAAGACCAAATCCTGGCGATGTAATCTCCCGCAGTGCATATTCTAGGTGCTTTTCCGGCAGCCGTCATATTACGAGCCGCCTCTGGAGTGTTTCTTCCGAGTCTGAAGTCATGAACTGCCAACAGTAGAAAATCACAATTCCCGTGGCTTCAAAAAACTCTAGAACGAAAAAAGCTTTCAAATTCACCTTAAACCTCCGTACGTATGAAAGGGCAAGCTTTCCCTACCAGATGATACCCAAATTAGCTGAATAGATAAAAAGCAAAACGGCGGATACTATTTGACCAACCTAATGAAATTCAACGGATAGTTTTGAGTGTAGCTGCGCATTTGATTCTATTGAAACGATGTCCTTCTTCGATTTTACCACTCGAAATTTATCTAGTTTGATTGTTCAAGCCTTTAGCTCTTTGTGAAATAACGACTCGCTTGCTTCGTCAACGTGTCTGGTGGTGTTACGTTGCAAAGCGAATCAGGATCTTCGAGGAATTCTACTCGGGAGAGTCCGTGTAACTGGGAGTGTTGAGTGCGTGTCCACCGGAAGTGACGTGTGCTTGATAGAATCTATGTGGATAAGGGGCTTCCAATATACATCGCGAGATATCAGCAAAGCATGCTGGCAACGACTTATCTACGCAACTTCTATCAAGTCCACGTCACTTCCGGTGACACGCCTACCCCAACTTTCGGATCTCGACTGTAAGAAACAACCACCGTTGCGATGATTGATCAACTGGGTGCTAGGATATTGAATTGGACATGAAGGAGAAGCTTCTGTTGCTAGCAAGAATGTTCAGTAAGTAGGCGTGTAGTGATGGACTCTATCACATTCAACCCGTCGAATCTCTCTCGTGTTAAAGATCAGGTGCACTACTTTGCAAGCAATCGTCAGAAAGCATCACGTGGCTAAGGCACGTGGGCGTAGCCTAGCCAACGTAGAAAAGCTCAGCTCTCCAATGGGGCAAGTAAACTGCAAAGGGAAATGGAGCTGGACGAAGGCGGTTGTCTCAATTCAGAATTGCCAACCTTTTTCGCTGATGAGGAAGTACTCACAGTCGAGTTAGTCTTGAATAGATAGAGCGACAAAAACTGCATTTCAAACAAGCCAAAGCTCAATATCTCAGACATAACTGGGTCCGGAAACAGTGAAGGTTTTTGTGGTGATCAAACGAAAACCATACTTTTGACTTTTAATTCACAAGGCATGAAAAGAAGAAGAAGGACTATCTCGAATTTTTCTCACTCAAATAACTCCTTGAATCAAGGGAAGTTATAGTTAGTTATAGTTAATCAAGTTAGTAACTATCTCATTGAACATTTCTGTAGAACGGCACACGAGAAAATTTGTAGGAAGTTATTGCCAGCTGAACTGCCCAGAGATTATTGCGTTTGGAAAGTGCCACCTAGAGTTCTAACTCAAATCTACTGTTTACGCTGTACGAAGAGTGGGAAGACGAGCACCTGCTGCTGACATCATGGATACGTTAATGGATTCAAGAAACCACTTCATAATGCCTGGAACGCATTCGAGACCTCTTAACACGCCGCAGTCAGCTCATTCCCTGGAACTTCATCCGTTTTTCAAAGCTAGTTGGAAGCAGGGTCGACCGTATGTTCGCACTATTCGCACGAGGGAGTAGAATTTACTTTGTGAGGAGAGGGAGAGTCGTATTTGGAATTGAGTACGATCAGCCATGTTTGGGAAATAGTGTAAATGGGTAGTTGTATTTGTAGAAGTTTGAAGGGTGATGAAGGGCGGGTCGTTTTGGACCGATTTTTCGACTACTGTGGTGAAGATTTCATGAACAAAGCGTGCAGTGCATAGAATTGAAGGGATTCCCTGCTTCACAGAGATATTTTCCACGCGCTCGGCCGTTGTAGAGAGGGAGCCTCCTGAAGCTAATGGTGAGGGGAGGGCAGACGTATCGAGACTCCCTTAAAGAGGGGGTCGCAAAAATTTTCAAAAGTGCGAACGCGACTGTTGACCCTGGTAGGGAGGTCTATGTGGTTTTTCGTTCTACCCTTTAGTAAACATGTTTTTGTTTGCACTTGTCTTTTTCTAGTTGCACAGATTTTCCATGAGCACTTTATCTTGTTATCCGTAATTTCTGCCACCCTATACGTGTCCAGGTTTCAAGAAGATCGAACATAGAATCTACTGGGAAGTGACAGTTTGAAGAGACAGTTTGAAGACTGTCAAGTTCACTACCAACAGATGCCACTGGTTAAAATTAAGTTTTCATCGGATAATATCTTGCAGTTGTACTGACTCCCTACCCTCGAGCTGCAGTTATCGTCAGTATCGACAAAAGGCGGCTCTACAAAATAGAGGTGTGAATGAACCCCAGCTAGAGAGTCGCATCATTCAGACAGACTCGCCTCGACTGCTTTACAACAGAAAAAAAAATTCGAGTTATAAGACATTTCTACCAGACAGCTGAAGTCTAGCAAATTTCAAATCTGTTCACGGAAAACGTCATACTTGAACAAACTTCAGTATATTCTAAAACAGAAACCTCACTCTTTCCAAAGGATGCAAAATGCGCTGAAATTTCAAATGCGAGAAGAGAATGCGAACAGATGTGACTGTTTCGGGCGACCCTTTCATCACTATTGATCCTACGCTTTTTTATTCAAGTGCATAATGGCCATGATGAGAAACCTCTTCATCTCAATCGGCTACTATAGGCGACCCCAAGATGATTTGCAAGAAACTAACATTCTCAAGAAGTGATATTTCTTCCTGCCGAAAAGGAGACTCATCGTCTTTAGCATGTTTAAGAGCCACTGAAGGCAAGCGAACATCATATAGTGCTGCTGAGACTGCACAGAAAATGGCGTCTAGAACAGAGCCATCGGAGTTCAGAATCTGAAATAAAAAAACATTCAAGTTCTCCATAATCGCGAACAACTGTAAGCGAGGGATTCTACCTGCACACGGAGAGTGAGTTCCCAAGTCATAGTCGGTTCGCTATCAATCCCTTTTACTAGCAAAGCAGATCGGAGGGGAAGTGACTCATTTGTGAAAACCTTATTAAGCAAATCGGACACATCGTTGACCTGAGCCTGAACTAAAAATATTTCAACGCAAATGGTAAGATCTGAAATTCTGCAATAAGACAAAGGACAAGAGGAACAATGGTGGTGAATAGCTTGTCCCAAAATCAAAGTGAAGACAGAAGTCTCATCCACCCACACCAAAGATCTCTTCCCCGCACCTTTTCCCTTCCGAATTTCTTTGAAACCAACAACCCTCTCCGCTACATTAGAATAAGAGTTTCAAGAGCAACCAGACAAAGGTGGCGCTAATAAGTGATCAAACGATTAGGTTGGTCCATAAGTCTTGCAACAAATTACATTTAATGCTAGAGAATTTTTGTGAGAACTCCAAAAATCCGCAACATGTTTGTTGACGTAGCATCCACCTTTGCAATTTCAGCCAACCGTCCAGCTCGTTGTCTCGCTTGTTATGGATATTACACCGATTTCGCGAAAAGCTCTTCGTGCCTTAATTTTTACGAGTACTGCTTGGAATGTTCCGCAAGTCATGCTACACCAAGGATTAGCCAGAAGATGGGCGAGGGCACGCTCTCTCAATTCACGGTGCACCGGCGCTTCACTCTGCTCAGCGTTGACTTTTTTATTTGAAAATGATCCACACTCCAACCACCCCGTGACTGACAATCACGATGCTCTACCTGACGCTGTTGAAAAGGGATCTGGATAGATTATCGATCATTTGCCAGAGCAATTCTGATCTCTTCTGAGGGATGTCTCAGAGAGGCCGAGCCCGACTTTTGCTTTTAAGCAAGACATTATCCCCAGGCCCGCGGGCTTGGCTCCTCTTCGGCTCTTCCTTCGCGAACCGAAGTGATGGAGAATGCGCCACAGTGAGAAAGCCTCAATTAAAAAAATCCCTCGTAACTTCTTTCAGAGAATCGTTCCGCAGATACCGAAAACGGATTTGAGCTCAGCGTCGCAAGACGAGTGCATCGGACTACACCTCATTACAATTAACCGGACAGACTAACTGACCATTCCTCGTGAATAAATTTCCTTTTCTTTGACCTCCCGACCTTGTCTGGAGTCCTCCCCGGAGGGTACGGGGCAGGATCGATTTGGTGTTAGACAAGTACGACGAGGAACGTGAGTGATGAGAGTCGCGGCAGTGTCTCGGCTCCTGGTCTAAGAACCCTCCTTTCTCAATATGAAAAAAAAACTACTCTTAAAAGCTGATCCCACCATCGCTCTAAGCACAGTAAAAAAGGCAACTTGTCGGAGCGCGTAGCGAAGAATCAAAACGTCTGGTCGTGTCAACTTACAGTGTTCCATAAATACTGCAACACTTTTCTTATCTTGTAACTTTCTCAAAGTGGACGTATCTTCAAGTGGTCACACACTCTTAGTCCGTCCTTAAGATGTTGAAAGGAATGACATTTATTCGATAAGTCTCCCTGTGAGTATGGCTTCCAGTTGCTTCGAACGCAACTCTGGTGTTTCCCGCAGGGCATACTGGAGTTCCTTCTTCGAAACTTTCTAGAGAAAAGGCTTCAGCTCCTCTGTTTGGATGCATTATTTAGTGCAGGCCCTGTCCCCTAATATAGCCCAAATAGGATGGTCCAGCAGGTTGAAATCGAGAGATATGAGAGCCATTTGTTTGAGGATGTGAAATCGGGAACAGCATCATGAGATCAGTCCTAAACAATTTTGCCCCTTATGCAGAAGCTGGTTACTTTTGAAAAGAATGTCATTCCTCCTTGGAGAAGCTAGATACCTTAGTAACGAATGGTGCACTGGAGCATTCGTTAGCTAGGTCTGTATCGAGTTTTATTCGCTTTTCAACAGACAGTTGTGGTGAGCGACCGGTGATTGAGACCCTTGCCCAAATCGTGATAAAGATTGGCTGCTGCTTGTGGCGAATATTCCTTTCACTCTCACTGGCTTCCACAAGACCTCATGCGGGCATCCTCGAAGTTTGAAGATTGTAGCTCCGCTCCATGTGAGGAATTTTGTCGTCGATGAAAACGGTGCCCGCGTAATCGCCATTTTCGGCCCTCGACACCAGCTCTTTGAACTTTTTGTCTCTGCTGTGCTCCTCCCGTTGGATTGAGCAGTGGTGCTTATGCAACTTATAATGGACTGTGAGCAGTTGTTATCTGACCACTCTCTACATGACTGTGTTTGGAAACTCCAGCGTTCTGGTCACCTTTCTCGAGCCAACCCGGGTATTGCAGTCGTTTCGCTTCTTCATGCTTTTCCTGAGATCCAAGATGTCAGAACTTGTGGGGCGGCCGCAACAAAGACTACTTTCATTGGTCTTCTCTTCAGTACACGGTAGGCCAAGGAGCGGTTGAAAATCCAAAGAAGCGCGATGTTCATCACCGGATGTCCGACCTAGCTGTATGAGGGATTAGGACCTCTTTTGAGGTTTAGGTGCACCATGAGATGTACAACGAATGGTAAGCCGTGCACTTCGGCAAAATTATTCACAAGAGGTCATAGGCAGAGTCAACCCTGCGTTGCGCAGTTCGCAACGGCACGTTGAGAGATCCTCAACGCACGCTGTATGGGCGGAGACACAGACGGCTCGAGCATGCGAGTGTGAATGTTCGCGCGAGAGAACGTGTCTAATCGGGCGAAACTGCGCAACGTGGCCGTTGAGAACTGCGCAACGCAGGGTTGACTCTGGTCATAGGAAGTGAAGAAAAGGACTACAGATACCCACACAATAGAAGCCCAAAATGCGTTGCAGTATTTATGGAACACCCTGTACTCATCACCTTGTCGTGCTTCGCTAGTGTTTATTATAGAGAGCTCCATGGAATAGCCCACCAGCACACGCAAGCGCATGATGACAACGTCACTGTGACGATGAGAAAGCTAGCAAGGCAGCGGTCCGCCAAAACTTGAATACATGACATAGTGCAAGCATTTATCGTCTCCTGCCTTCGCCGTTGAGTAAATACATAGAAACAGGTTAGGGGTATTGGTCGCTAGAAAGAACGCAAGAACACTTTTGGCAGCGCGGTTCGTGCTGCGAACAGCGAAGTAGGCGCGTTCTGTCCCAAGAAACCACGCAGATATGAATGAAAGTCGAAGAACGAATAGCACTATTCACCGCCATCAACTTAATTGTGCACTCCGTGAGTTTGTACGTAAAGCCGTTATTTCTTCCCCACTTCCGAAAAAAAAAACCAAATTCGTGACGAAGGCGAAATGACTGGATCGAGTACAGATACCATGGCGCAAACAAGGAATCTGTACGCAATTCGATCATTTCGCCCTCGCCCATCCCAGTGACGAAAAGAAAACGAGTCATTGCCAACAAGAACAAAAACTTTCCAGAGGGAGGGGCTGAGTTAGTCCGTTCATTTGCGTGGAAAGTTGAAGTAGAAGGCGCGTGACGTGGCGTGGAGGCCTTGCGCTTGCGCATGAGAAGTTACCATGAAATATAGGCATTAACACTGAAGCTCACCTGTGGTACGGATGCACACGCATCGATTTCGCAGGAAACAAGAGGACCGTCATGGATGAGTGCCAAGGAAGCTTGGACGGTGCACGAAACAGAAGCGCCACCAAGTTTCACCAAGGCAGACCCGACTCCGCCCCAGGTACCAAGCTGAATAATAATGGAGAGGTTGTCTGAATTCTCAAGCACTTCTCATGCATAAACAGGAACGGACACGGCTCTGACCTTAAAAAATAGCGGTCTAAATCTGGATATTGAGCGTCCATCAGGATAAATGCCTTCACTAACGAACTTCCCATAGTATTCATCCGGTAAACAACTTTTGAACCATTGTTCTCCCATTTTAGCACTCTTGAACTTTGGAGATTAGCGTACTTCCAATCCAGATACGACTCCTATTTCAAAAAGAATTATATACTTTTATGAGTAGCTTTCTCGGACAAATACGAAGGAACTGCACAGCGCTAAACTTGTTAGGAAGTTACCAGTTTTACATAAAACCTCAATTTATTGATAATACGGAAGTCATTTACAAACTTTCATAGAACGGAGAACACAACTAATATAAGAACATGCAAAATCAATCAGTTGAAAACCAATGTGTAAAACGGTGATGCGAGCGAGCGGGGAATACGAGGCGACACGGTCTCTCATGCGCAATAGCACTGAACGTGAGCTTTGGAAAGCGACTATTCTACAGAAACAATTTAGCATATTTCAGCCCTCAGTTCCTAGGCTTGCGCACACCCGCACCACTTCCGTAGTTCATTTTATTTTTTGTAACACAATCACGCCAGTGGAGCCCCTGTGGGCTGCCAGCTAAAATCGCCTGATAACCGTTTGCCGTAATTTTTGCATTTTCCTGCTAGTTACTGCCAAAATATAGTTACAGGGGTCACGGCGCGGCGCCTGTCAGTCTACGTCTCCAATTCTTGGTTGTGGAGACCGTAACATTTTGCCACCACGAGGCAGTTTCGCATCGAACGTCTAGGAGTCGATTAAACTCCGTCCTTTAAAGAAGCGATCACGCTGGCTTCCACGCTGGATTTGCTACCCTGCCTTATCAATCGATAAGGTGTGAGGCAGTAATTGTTGGACGAGTGTAAGCCCATGGAAGATATGATCCGATGAGATAAGAAGGTGCGGCTGCTT